CCTCTTTCCATTTACATTTTTCAGACAAAGCAATTGACAAAACCTAAAAATGAGCCAAGCTCAGTTGGCCTGGGGGCCACACAGAGTTGACAGAATCAGAACAAGTCTCTGTTGCACAGGACTAAAAGCAACACTATGCTCAGAGAGAATGGGTACTGATGGTACCCCAGACAGAAAAGGGGTGTGCCTGGATGTGTTAGGGGAAAAAGGCTGTCCCAAAGCTAATTCCATACAGGCTTTGTGGACTCCACCCCCACCCCAGTGTTAGGGGGAAAAGGCTGCCCCAAAGCAAATTCCATACAGGCTTTGTGGACTCCACCCCCACCCCAGGCCAAAGCCAAAGACACTGGGAACTCTACATCCCATCACCACCCAAGGGAAGGTGGCTGGGACCTGAGGGTGGGGTTAAGCAGCCAGGTGGATACAAAAGGCAGACATGTGGGCTTTGGGGCGCTCTCCATTTTGGGGCCCTCGGCCAGCTCGCGGCGTCCGTCTAGCTCTGAGAGTGACTTTGGGTTTCCAGGTCGTCGGATCGGGTAGGACGCATTAAAGACTTTATTTCCCTATTTTCTCCCTGAGTTGTACATTTTCCTTATTTCTTTTTCTCTTGTAAATAAACCTTTTATTAACCCTTTTGCGTGTGTCTGTAGTAGAGTATTCATAAGTCCCTTTAAAGTGCGCGGGTGAAGACCCACAGCCAGGAACCCGTTTAATATCGGGGTTGCTCTATAACAACTGCATTATGCTGCCCATAATGCTTTGTTCTGAGGATTATGGGCAGAGTATATTACAAATGAGCAGTATGTAAAAGAGCAATAAGTAAGATAATAACTATTTTACACTTTGGAGAGAAATACCCTATCTATAGGATCCCTTTAAAATAACAAGTGTTCATGAATTTTATCATTTTTAAACTAGTCAACATCTCTGCCATCCTAATAAGAAAAGAGAAACCAAAGATTTAGGGAATTGCCTATGCATAATGTAAACAAATACATAGAATAAAAACAATAATATTATAGTCATATATAGATCATGACCATTGTATACTTACCAGTATGTAGTATTAACAGTTTATGCTGAATAGTTAGCACATTTAATAATGGTTATGGGTTGATTAACCATTATTAATGGGCTATCCTATTTTCAAAACATTTTTTCATAACTAATACTTGCTAGGTATTCAGGAATTTACTATGTTCTGGGTAAATTCTTAGTGCTTTATGTGTGTTATTCCATTGGCTCCCTCACAACTTTGTGAGTGAGACATCATCTCCTGCTCATAGATAGGAAAAGATGAGATTCAAATGACATTCTTAAAATCTGAAATAGTAACTAACAGACCTAGGCTCCCTTCTGTTCCATTATTGTGCATTCAGTTCTAATGACCACTATTACCGAGTCACATGGAATGGGACTGTAGCAATTTAAAATAACTTTTATCAACAATTTCTATAATCTTCTCTTTGTCATTAAAAATAAGGTGTTGTACTATCTTTTCATAATACTGCATACAATCCAAGTCCCAAAAAGGTACTGCCAAGCCTTGGTGCTGGGTATACTACTTTGATTTTCTTGTTGATGGTCCTCTCTGACCAGTGATAATATTCAGGATGTTCCATTCAGCCATGGATTTCTGAGAACAGTGAACTAATTGTAGTCTGATGTGTATCTCTCTGCCTGAAAGTAGATGGTAGCCCCAGGCAAGGTTGAAGCCCAGAACTTTGCTCTGAAAGCAGCCCAGAACACAAGAAGCATTCTGCTTTGGGCAATCAGGAAGCTTCCTGGAGTGAGTGGGGTTTGAACTGCAGTTTAAAGAATAGAAAATAGGTCATTGTAAGCAAGAAAACACACTCCTGACCTCCACAGCTGAAGACCTATAGTTAAACAAATCAAGTATCAGGTATTTGATTTAAATATTTCAACTATGAGATATCAACTCTTTTATGTATTTATTTTCATACCTAGGATAGCGATGATTGTTGAAAAATGAAACAAAAACAATTAAAAGAACTTCAGGAGCACTATTTATGGGATTGATTGATAATATCCGAATAATTCTTTCTTTATTTTGTTTTCTGAAATAAATGTTATAGAAACATACAGTTTAACTATATATTTATTATAAGGTTTTCTCTAATGTACAGAATATTATGAAAAGATAAAAATAAGCAACTTCTCAGCCCTCCCTTCCTCTTCCCTCTGGATTGCTCAGATCTAACACAATGGACCATGGTGGAGGACTATGGGTGCTTTGATTGTGGGAAAACTACAGTGACTACATCTGAGGGAGAAATCCTGCACTGTCAAAACACTAACAGGATGTAAAACAATGGTACCTCAATAAAAAAAAACAAAACTAAATAACAGACTTTACTCCATATTAAATATCAATTGTGGATAATGTAGGTATTAAATTCTCTAGAGTTCTACCTACTAATTTGTATTTTGTCATCATCGGCATCTTTACAGTCCCCGTCTCTAGAGAAAAATATTGACTGCTCATGTCCACATTCACGCATTCACACACACGTCCCTCCCCCATCACCTAATGCACATATATGTCAGTTGCTCTCCCACTTCTTCAAAATAGCCCCTTTGATTTTTAAATTGGTTATATTGGGTTGTCAGAAAAGTCATGACGTATGTTTTCTATGTCGACAACCCAATATTTCAACATTTCTCACTTTAAGTCAACCTCTTTAAAATGAGCCTATTGAAATAAAAGATTTATATTTTCAGGTCTCCCTGGTGGTGCAGGGGTTAAAGACAGCACTATCAAGCTATCACCAGCCACTGCAGCACCCCGTTGGCCATAGCGCAGCAGACCTCTCCTGTCTTGCCTGCTGCTCCCCTCAGCAGTGTATTTCAGTAGATCTGCCTGTTCTGTTCCCCACTCTGTCTCTGGTGAATCCTCTCATCCCCTGCACCTCTGGCTTATACCCCAGTTCTTGTATACATAAATAAATAAATCTTTAGGAAAAAAGAAGATTTATATTTTCTATACCTCTATAAAGCACCGTGTAGTTTGACCTGGTTCAAAATGGAGGCATAGGAAGAAAATGCTGATGTGATAACCATCAGCCTGGTCCACCAATCCTCAATATGAGAACCACAAATAACACCAGCACTCTTCTGACCTTGCTAATGTATAATCATCTTTCTCATCTCATAATTTCACACCACTGACATTTCATCTTACCTTTTAGATCCAGTCTTCAAATTGCCCCCAGAGTTGCTTTTCCCTGGAGGATATAATGCTTCTTCCAACCTCTTTAAGTCACCATCAATCATGGAATAAAGTCGACCTCTCTTTTTGCACAATGAGAGCACTCCATAAGTGACTCTCAAAGTGTGTTAACACCACACATCACCCTGTTCCCCTAAGTGGGCCTACAACACTTCTGTCAAACACATCTTTTGAACCTACCCACAGAGTCTCACTTTTAGCCAGAAATGTACATCCTCATTTTGCTTAGTCACAGACACATCTTATTATATGAAATAATATTGAGGCTTTGGAAGTTTTATCTTTTTGTTTATTTTGGCTTGTGTTATAGTAAGTTGTTTACTTATCTCTCATCCCAAATAAATTGTTAATGCCTTGAATACAGGGATTCCATCTTGTTCATTTTGCATATCTAGATTGGTATTTTTAACTTTGTATTTTGGCTTTAAAGACTGAGAATTTGGTGCTTTTGAATTAATAAATACAAAAGTCCTAATTTAACAACTGGAAAACTATAGCTAGATAAATAGCATAGTACCACAAAGCAAACATACAATAAATGTTCATTGAATTACACATTTATAGGCTGAATTGCTGAGAGAGAACATTCTTTATTCTTTCTAGTTCAGCTACAGCACAAGCTGGGAAAGACCAAATAAAATCATTGACTAAGGTTTCTCTTTTGTTTCTTTAATATTCCTTCATTGCCAACTATAAACCCATAAAAATGAGGGGTTTTTGCCTTCAAGAAACTGACATTCCTTTTGTACAGTCAGCTTCGTTAATCTTTGAGCAAATACATATCATTAAGTCAAGTTCTCACTGAGAGATTGGAAAATTTAAACTCTGGTCACTCAACTCTGTGTTTCTATAAGATTGTATAGCTCAGTATGTTCATGTAAAATCTGTAAATGACATTGCAGATGGTAATGAATAATAACTTACATTTATGAGCACTTTTCCATTTATGAGGTATTTTATGAGTAGTAGTTCTTAATATTTACTGAAAACTAGTAAGTTAAGTTTAACCTCATTTTCAGATAAAGGACCACATGAGTCTAAATGCCAAAGCCATGCAATTAAGATACAGCAGAATTAACTTTGGAACCTCAGTCTCTTGACTCCAAATGCAATATTCTCCACAGCATCATGCAGAAATAGAGCAAGGACAGGGCCCCTGGATGTTTAGAAAGAGAAAATTCTGGTCTCATAACCGTGTGGGTTGAAAACCTGAGATTCTTGAGATAATGCTGCCTCCCCTTGTAGCAGCTAGAGGACCAGGGTCCATTTTGCCCAGTGAAGAGGATCATGTTCATGGGGAGAAGCGTTAGAGCAAGAAAGCCATACAGAAGCATCCAAACGGCCAGTACAAATCTGGCATCTGCAAGTGATTAGGAAAACCAGAAACAAGTTATGATCTTATCCTAAAATGTACTGCACCCAGAGGGAAGTTCAGATCACTAGTTGATCTCAAGGAAAATTGTGATTAGACCAGAGAATGGTCTCAGTATTCTCAGTGTTTTATACAGTGCCTGAATTACAGGTATAGGTATCCTATTAGTGGACTGAACTAATATATTTGAAATGTGCTGGTATGTTATACATGCCAAACTGAAATTTTTTAAACATTTCAGTCTAGATGGGCTAAAATATGAATAAAATCTATAAATCACAAATAGAATGGTTAACATAAATATGTTCATAAAATCCTGAAAATAATAAAACAAGAGCAAATCTTTAAAGAGTTGAGAAAGATAAATACAAGCTCTGTAAGAAAAAGTCCTCTCTCCATCTCTTTACACATTACTAATGCAAATGTAAGCAAAGTGTTTGAAAAATTAACCAAACTGGTGAGTTACAGGGCTCAATGGTTCCTAAAGAAATTGGGCCAATTCAAACCTTTCTGGTGTGTCTGCTACTTCATTCAGCAAACAATTATTGCCTACATACTATATGTCAGGCCTACACAGTATGTTAGCAATGTCATAGCAAACTAAAATTATAATTCATTGTCTCTTGGAGTTTGCAGTTTAGTTGACATCTTGTGAGGACGGTGGGCTCATTAGTGTGTCTTTCAGTACCTTCCTGGACCTTGGGTTTATCTTCACTTGTAACATATATGTTTTGCTCCATGTTCTCCCGCTAAATTAAAACAAAAAGCAGGGAACTGTTGATGTTGCATGGGGAGGATGGGGGATTTAGCACTAAACAAGCAATTATCAACTATTCATAGCAGCACAAAAGAAGACAACAAATTATCTGAGGCCCTCTAAGATCCAGTGGTGGAACTTTATATTAAACGTATTCAATTATTCTGTCTTTTTCAATTGTTCTAATACAACTGAATTCCAAATATATTTACTAAGCAGGTGCTATGGTAAAAATTTGGTACAACAATTAATAGAATATCTGTACCCTTAATTGCACATATTATATACCAAGCACAGATTGAAGTACTTTAGATTCATTATTGCAGTTAATCCACAAAACAGCTCAACAAGATAGTTTTTGTTATTCTCACAATCTTGATAATGAAGAAACTAAAACTCTAGTTGGTTCTTTATTCCAAAGTAATTTTACCCAAAATAAAGTAGGTAAAGGACTTAAAGCCAAGCTATAAAACTAGTTTTGCCTAATTTCAGAGTCCATCTTTTATTTTTTTTTTTTTTGGAGATTTATTTATTTTTATATAAGAACTGGGGTAAAGGCCAGAGGCGTGGGGAGGTTGAGAGAATTCACCAGAGACAGAGCAGAGAGCAGAATGGGCAGACTGACCGAAGTACATTATTGAGGGGAGCAGCAGGCAAGACAGGAGAGGTCTGTCCTGCCATGTGGGTATGTCCCTGACCGGCCGGGAATCGAACCGGCTCTGCAGAGGCTACAGACAAACTTCACAGTGCTGCCCTCAACCCACTGTGCCACTGGGGAGGCCCAAGAATCCATCTTTATTAGAATAGTGTTTCAACTCCCTGCCTTCAGTTAACTTAGCCTTCTAGGAGAGAAAGATCACTTAAAATGCCATTTTCAGATTAATGATAACTACTGCAAAAAGGACAGGGTTGCTATGGGAACATATGGGAAATCATTAAATCCATTTTTGCGGGTCAGAGGAGGTAACAACTAAGCCAGGTCCTGAAGAATATGCAGACATTAATTTAATCGAGAGAGAGAAAACACAAACAGTATGTGCAAAGATCCAGAGGCAGGTCTGGGGATCTATGAGTACCCAGGCTACAATCCTCAGTAACCTTCCATCACCAAGTGGAAAAAGTTGCAAAATGCTTTCAAACAAATGATCTCACCCTTCCTGGGATACAGGAGTGCTCTGATCATACTTGTGAAATCTGATACAAGTTTGGTGGGAAACCCTAACCCCTACATTGAATCACAGCACAGAAGCCTGGTGTCCTGGTTACCTGGACCAGGCTCGCCTGGGAGGGGAATGTGCTGGCACACAACACAACAGGCTCAGCTGGGGTCATTCTTCTGTGACTGCCTGACAGGTGTGATTGCCTATTCCTTCTTTGTCCACTCGCTGCTGCTGGAATTCTTAGACTTTGGTTCTATAGCAAAACATCCATTTGAATGAAGGACAGTAGATGGAGTAAACAAAAAAGAGCCAATTCCACCCTGGCAAGCCAAAGAATGCCAAATACAGAGTGGGGGAAATAGGGAGGCAAAACCTTGGATTTGAAGTAAAACTATGGAGGAAATGAAGTCAAGTTTTTATACTTGCATAAGTGTCTATCTTGTGGCATCTTTTCTAGTGACAATATTTTAGGACATGCATTGTTTTTATAGCAACATGGCCTTGGTGTCACTGATGAGTATTGTCTCATGCATTCTTAACTTTATCTTACAGAAAAAAAAAAAAGTCTCAGGGGGTTGTAATTGTATGGGGAATATAAAAATAAAATTAAAAAAAAAAAAAAAAAGTCTCCAGAAACACAGAGACATGGATCCAAGCCTTGGCCCTGGGACTTACTAGCTGTGTGGCCTGGGGCAAGTTGCGTATCCTTATCTTTAGAATAAGGATAATAATACAGACTTTGAATGACAGACTTGGGGATTAAAGATGTAATATATGTAAAGCACCTAGTCTGCCCCTGTGTAGGCATTCATCAAATGGTAATTATTGTTATGATTATATTGACATTTAAAAGAGAGCTTTTCAGTGACTTAACTCAAATTTTGACTAATGGTGGGAGTTTGAGGCTGCTGGATATAGATTTTTTTTTTTTTTTAGGAAAACACATTTATAGAGATGGCCTGAGACCACAATTAAGTGGCACAATGAACATAAGTTAATGAAATCTCAATCAGATTGTATATGCTCCACCACTTCCACCCATCTTTTTATTCAGCATCCCAGGCTAGAGAAAGCATGGCCAGGAAAAGAGGGGTTCAGGAAGGTGACCCCCCTCACAAATATCCTGGAGAGTTATTCCTAAAAAGGGGGTGGAGTTGGGGGTAATGCTAGGAGTAGGATCTGCTATGCTCCTTCCCCAGACTCAGTGGGTAGCTTTTCTATGTTTCCATTTCAGGTCTTGTCAGAAGCAAAATCTTTATCCTTAGTATATTTTGAAGAGCACAAAGTGATTTTTAGAAAAGCATTTAAACAAAAGTAGAAAACACCAAAGATAACTGCAGCACTTACACTTTATCGTTCGTTCGTTCTTTTAACAAAATTTGTCAGGCATTGCATGTGCCAGGCAGTGAAACTGTAGCTGTACATGCTAATAATGATGAAGATGATAAGGAGATATTTTCTGTGAGTATGGATTTTTTTTTAAATCAAACAATAGTTTAACTTCACTGAGGATTCTTACATTTAGAGGAACCCTACAGTTAAATAACTATATTTCTGAATAAAGAAATTTGTACCAATTATCTGACCAGTATCAGTAAATTTATGAGAGCAAGAGAAATGAATATTGACTTTAGATCTCCTGGGAAAAATTCATTCCGTGTTTCTTTCACAAAAGGAGACTGATAATTCATGATTTTTTTTTAACAACTTGAAGTTTTATTACTCCTGATCCATCTGCTACTCCAGTGCTCTACAGCACATAAATCAAGCTCCCCAATTGGTAAGAAAGAGGACATGTTTTCACTCTTTTTCTAAAATGAATAGATTATTCATGTTTAACTTATTTGGTTACATATCAGTGCTGAAACAGAGCATTCAAACAAGGTGCAGAAGACTTGAACTTTAATTCTGACTCTCCCAGCTAGTTTTAAAAACTTGGTCACAAAAAAGTAGGATAGAAAGTTATCACTTTCTCATTGGGGTGGGCCAGGGGAAATTTCAGGGGCTTATCACTTAGAAATGAAAAGTGATTAGCTTTATTCTCCCATGATCAGCATTTATTTCTGGCTACAAGTTAGGTAGTTCTAGAAGTTAAATAAAAGATTTTGGTTTATTTATAAAATTCAGTAATTATTTGTTACTCCCTTTACTTATTTGTCTGAATTAAAAAGCTATAGAGTTTTAGTTCTCAAATGTTACATGTCATGTTAATTAAGCTACTCCCTTTTAATAAATGCATTTTAGATTGTAGCAAATATTATGGGAGGAGAGATGTCTTAGCATTCTAAATTTAGAACCTTAGGGTATTACTTGAAGATTTCACAGCTGCCAACAAGGGTGCAGGTTTCAATCTGTCATAAAGAAATCTTGCTTAATTATAGAATTCTGAAAACAGAAGCATACTTTCCACAAAAAGAAGTTTTCTAAGGTCATATAGGTATTTCATTAGTTAAATGAGTTTAAGGGCTTGATTTGAGGAAACATAAATCACTTACCTTATTTTAAACCATCCGTGTTTCCCCTAATGGTGTTTACAAAGTTTGAAAGGCATTTACTTTAAATAAGTAGAGTAACTTGTACATTGATTAAACTGTATCTCTTTAGCTAGATGGTGGAATTACAATTTAGCACAGAGAGTTAAAGAGAACATCAATTAAAGATATAGCTAGGCTGAGTCAGGTGCTCATCAGAGGTGATGGGAATAAAGATCAGTCAAAAAAAAAAAAAAGTAAACCCCCAAGTATGCAAAACTTAAATACAATAATAGAATGAAAGCACAAAATCAACCAATCGAGATAAAAAGGAAGCACTTACCTAGTATGATCACCTGAAAAGCATGGCAAAATCCTGCAAATTGCAGGAATTCATATTGCAAAGTACTCAGCAATACTTCTGTGTAGTTCTATAGAAAGCCCAGAAAATCCTGCAATATTTTGCAAAGCGCTCCACAGGTATCCAATACTTTTGAACTGATATCATTCTCCCTTCCTCGGTGGATCCAAATCATGTAACTACTGATCTTCAGATGAAGAAGAGGTAAGTCCTTGAGAAATGGAGGATTGGTTTTCAGTTTTGAGGATGGGCTGGAGATAAAAAAATTTACTGTTCAGAGGTACCCTGGATACTTTTTAAAATAAATACAAATTTAAAATACTCTTTTGATTATTTTTTAAGTATTTGCTTCTAAAAAGGACAGAATCCCCCAACCTCCCAACCCATATTTTAATAACCCAACAATGGAAGAGAAATATTTGACAGAGGGTGTATTGGATGTTGATGATCTCCAACTGCTTCCAAATCTGCATAAATAAAACTCCAACAAATCCCTACACAAAGAAACGACTGAATGGGGCTCTATTTATCTGCCGCTGAAGGATAAAGGGCCAAGCCAATGCTATTGACAGTTATGTCTGTCGCTTCCAACATATCACTGAGGTCATTAACCCACCACTACAGGATGGGCTGACATAAACAGCTGATTGCTCAACAGAAATTAGGACTCAAATCACTTCACTGCTGAAACCCAATTTCGGGAGCTCTCAGTTTGCAGTTTTGGTTGATCAAATTCAAAGATGGGATTCGATTCATATTTCAGTAATGAAGATCAGGGCTGGGAACTGATATACTGAAAGGTGTATTTTTCCATTTCTTCTCTACATAAAAAATTCATGGATGCCATGTTCTACAGTGTACTCTCACAGTGTAACAGCTGCCAAAAACCTGGTACCTGAGGCCACTTTTACATCAATAAATTATCGAAGGTTACATCTGTATTGAGATAGCTTTATTTGGCCACGCAAATAATACCAAGGTACATAACACAGTTCTCCCAGCTTTTGTTCCCTTGAGGGTGGACTATTGTTACACTCCATGCTGCAAAGCATGCTGGGAAGCTCCCACCAAGATGTAAGGAGGATAAATACTTGCCTTTGTGCTCTAATAAAGGCGGTGTGATATTGAGGAAAGATCATAATTTGGAGTAAAACATCAGGAGCTGTGTGAAAGTGACCAGATCATTTCACCTCTCTAAAACACAGTTTGTCCATCATTAAAATAGGGATGTTCCTCTACATCCCTGCAGGGCCAGTGAGATCAATAAATAGGCAATGTCTTCAAATGGTCTGCCTCACATTGTACAGTCAGTTAATGTTATTCAGAGTGCTGCCTTCTAAGAATATATGATATAGTACTGAAATACCAAAATAGTGCATCTATCAGAAGATCTGAAGAGATTCTCTACCTTTAGGAAAATTGCTGATTGTAGAAATTCAATTTTCTGGAGTTCTGAACAAGTTGATTTCATAAATGGAAGACTTATTCCTTTGCCATTCTTCCTCTTTCTCCTAACATCTCTTAGCCCTCTGGATCACTCCTTCCTTTTGCCCAAAGGAATGACTTAAAAATACAGGTCACCTCCCCAGTAAAAACATTCCGTCTAAAGTTGGTGTTAGGCTTCATATTTTGAAAGCACTTTAAAAATTTTACCACTAAGCTTTTTTTTTTTTTACGTTAAAAAAAAAAAAAAAAAAGGGCAGCTCAAGGCCAGAGAAGGATCTGGCATGAGCTTCACTCCTCGATTTTAAGCTCAAGGTCAGTTGAATATTCAGTCTGCTGACTCATGCTCTGTGAAGTGTCAGAAGCACGCCACGCTGCAGACAAGAACTTTAAAAACAAGGTTCTAATTGTTCCAGACTAAGGTAGAACTTTCCCAAAATATGTGCCCATGAACCTCCTTACAAAGTAAGCACACTTGCAAACTGGATTCACTCTTTAAAATAAATAAATAAATTTATGCATACAAAAACTGGGGTCTAGGCCAGAGGTGAGGGGGTTGAGAGGATTCACCGAGACGGAGTGGGGAGCAGAGCAGGCAGATTTACTGAAATACACTGCTGAAGGGAACAGTGGGAGCTACAGTCTGCGTCACGTGGTTTAGCACCTTGGCTGGAGATCGAACTCATGTCGCATTGAGACTTAACGCCTGCATCACCAGGGAGCCCTGGATTCACTTTTTTGGGTCTTTCAGGTACTAAAAAAATTTAAAAACAAAACAAAACAAAACAAAAAAACAGCAATAACTAGAATCATTGCTTCTGTTTTTTGCCAGATAGGATTCGAGTCTTTGCATATTACATCTAATCCTCTCAAATCAGGTATGTTTAAACTCAGTTTATAGATGTTGAAATTGAGGCTCAGAGAGGATAAGTGACTTGCTCACATCTAAGGAATTTGAATGAAGTGCAATGTGGCTTCCTGGTCTGCTCTTTCCTATTACACTACTCCCTCCTTGAATTCATTTGTATGTTGATACCGAAGCAAAGGATCAAGGGATCCTCAACCTTATTTCCTTACCTACTAATCCTCTTTGCTGAGTACATTGCTCTGACCCCACCCAGTAGAGTAAGGAAGAGGAAGCTACAAAGGAGTTTGACCTGGTTGCCAAGAAAATGATCCTGTAGTATCCAAGAGACAAGGCACCCTGAGTGAACCTACCAGGCTCCCATAGCTGGGTCCTGTGTTAACAAGAGGAAACACAGATTTTTTTCCCCAGTGATCTCTGGAGAAGGGCCAAACTGCAGGAATACAACGTCGTGCATAATGTGTGGTGATACCTGACTACCAGAGGGTGACCCAAATCTGAATTTGGATTGCAGAGCACCACAGTCTCCTTTTGCAGCCTGGCAGAGGAAGTGTCATTCAAGGGACAGGGTCTACAGTAACTCAGAAATTACTCATGCCTGAGGAAAAGAGAAGGGACAAATGCCACCATCTTTCAGGAGTCAAGTGTTTTGTTTGTCTGGAAGGTAACATCTGGGAAAACTCAGAGTTCATGCCCATCATCACAGGGGGCATCAGGAGTTCTGTTCTACAGAAAGAGGCCAAGTTCTGACTCACTTAATTTTCTGAGCACAGCATGGTGATTTTGCCAGGCCTCCCACTCACTTATCACATAGGTCAAATGCTTACAGCTCAGGAGTTTGGAAAACACATCCTGAGGTGGTGTGGCCTCAAGCTAACAAAGGTAGACTCCCCAGTAGCACATCCTCTTTCTCATTGTCAAGTTTTCCAGTATTTGACTTCAGTGGAAATGACTGTTCATTGGCTAGGTTCATTAGTGAAAAATGTTTCAACGCTATCATTTAACAACCTGGAATGTCTTTTGGAGAAGGCCAAATTAATGTGATTTTTACCTTAAGAAGCTTAGAAACATAGCTGCTGCTAACTCAATAATTACATTGTACTGCTAGCAACAATTCAATATTTTTTTCTCTCCTGAGGGTTACAACACATTTGCACCATAGGGAAGCTTTTTCTCTTTACATCTCAAAACTGTACCACAAACTCTTCCTTTATTCATAACAGTGAGATCTCCAGCTGAGATAGGCACTTTTGTATTGCTCTAGATGACAGTTTTCTGTGTTCTTTCCAAGCACAGGGGGCTTAATAAACATATCTGGCAGGCCTTCCATAGCTGGAGGGCCCAGGATGACACTGTGTGCAAACAATATGCTCACGCTGGAGGGAAACAAGTTTATTCAATTATTCAATTAATAGATTACAGTCAAGATACTTGTTATCCTACAATGAAAAATGGGGCAAGAACTCCAAGAATTAGGATAGGTCCCAGGATTAGTAACAGCAGGCAATATGGCCTCTACAGATGATGAGGGCCTGGCCAAATACATGAAACTGTACCCACCAACCACTCACACATACACACACATGCACAGACACACACATACTCATGACTGTACCCTCAGAAGAAGGAACAGACTTCCAGAACCAAATATGATAATGGTCTTAAAAACTCATTAAATACTTTAAATTAAAAACTCATTAAATACTTTAGTATTTACCCTGGAATGGAGGGAAGGTTGGTGTATGAAGGAGTAGATCTATGAGAATTTTAGAAAGAGATATTCACAGGATTTTCTTTCTTCAACTGAAAGTATGTTTGCAGGGTTTCATGAGTAGCTGCCTTTCTGCTCCAGGGCAAGACCTTTCTTTAATGCAAAACATCTTAAAATATTCTCTGTGCCAGAATGTCTCACTCTGAAGAAATTGCTAGTTTGAGAGTGCCGTTGATCTAGTTTATATAGAAGTATTAAGATCTTAACAAGAAATGAACCACTCATTTAAACATGTGATTTAAGTACAGGGAGGGCATCTTTCCGTCTATGAGGTATTAGTAAAAGAAATTTAAAAATTCCTGAGAGGAGAGTGAAGAGATAAAGCTGTAAAATTCCCTAAGGGGGAAACTGGCAAGGATATTGTGTGCTTAAGGAAGAAGTTCTGATTTAATGCTATGGAGAATAGGGAGTCATTGAAGTTTTTGTGCTGAGGAGTCTTTCCCCCATTCTTTCCTTCTCCAGCTGTACTGTTTTAAATTTCTGGCTTTTATTTTGAATTTGTGGACTTAAAACGTTGGGACACAGTTCTAACGTGCTGGAAGCACTCTGTGTGGAATGATAATGTGGTTGTCATTCTAGGGAGCACCAAGTAGTTATTTTCACTATAAATCAGTAGGCGAGTAATACCTTAATTCTGTATGGACCTATTTCTTTGAAATTTTTATTTGTGAGGACATGTGTAGACCTCAATTGTATTGTAAATTTGGGCTCAAGATATCTATAAGTGTATTTTTGACTCTACTCTTCATCTGAGGACACCATTTCCATTTTACTGAGTAAGAAAATGACACCAATGAAAATGCCAAAAAGTTTTCCCAAAGAGACTAAGGAATACGACAGGAAACATGTTTCCAGATACTGAAATCTCTTGATTCTTTATGAAAGACTGAGAAAAGAGCCTGGGCATCTTCAGTTGTATCCTCTGTGAGCTTCAGCCAGGTGGGAAGGGAGTCAAACAATTTCTCCAGCAAGCAAGTGGGCATAGAGAGTTCAGCAGATGGCTTATTTTAGCTACGAAGGAAACTAGCCAAGGCAAGAGCCTGAAACTGAAAATGATTCCCTCCCACATTCTCAAGAGCATAATTGTTCCCAAGTTCATGGTTGTCTCTGAACAAGTGAATCAAGATGGCTTTTTATGTGTCTGTCAGTTGTGACCTTGCCCCGGCTCTCCC